GAAATTGTAAATGGGCTGATTCATCAATGTCATGCTCATAACTGTGCTTGAACTGCTGCTTTTTCTTTCGTAACCCTTACTATCGTCATTTTTCCTCTACTTCTTTTGTATGTTTGTCACACTCTTGTGACCTGCTATTTCCGTGGTGCCTTGATAGTTGAAGCAGATTTTGTGTTGTTGAAGCTAGAGAGGTGAACAGAGTAAGTCTGATTCCCTGTATAGGACGTCTCTATTAACATCCACCCATTGGGGCTCATAATATGACCTTATGCAGTTGCGTGCGCCGTAAAACTCTGCTAAGACTAAAAAAACTAAAACCAATTCTGGTTCACTATTGAGCGCACCATTTGACTAGATGTACAATATTAAAAGGGGATAACTCTATGATTTGGAACCAAGTAGGGAAACTTGCCTTTTTGTGCACGTCCATAATGCACACCAGCACAACGAAGTTCTTGAAAAGAGAGCAAAGGGTGGCAGCCATAAGAGTGTCTACAGTTATGGGTTGTTTTAAGACAAGTCTATGGAGAGAGCACAGAAACCTAATTTTAATGTTAATGTATAAAATAATTTTTAAAAATAGTTTTGCTTTTTTTACAATGATGATGGACCAAATAGTTTGGATTTCAATAATGTAAATTATGGAATAAAGACACATTATTATGATCGTTGTCATAAGATGATCTCATTAATATTTTACCATGGTGGCTGATTATGATAGGCGTTACATAATCAACCCACACACACACGCATTAAGATTTGGAGAGACAATATGAAAGATGGTATACATCAGAATGAATTGTTACTTTATTTTAATAAGGACGCATTATCAAAAGCGCCAAATGAACTTTTCTTTGAACTACACTAATAGAGTTACGACATGAGTGTTTCAGTACAATTTATTATACAATCTCAAACAATTTTATTAATTATTGCCAAAATAACCCAGGCCATGATGCTGTTAGGCATTTTCAAAATTACATATTTTGTTATTAGTAAGTGTTAACATATTATCGTACAATACCTATCTACGCTATGTTTTCTTCCTTTTCTTTCCCCTTCTTTTTTTTTCTGTCTGTATATTTTTGAAGAGCACCAGACCGTTTTATATCCACAATCAGCCCCATTGCTATTGCCTCTGTCTCAAAATGTGATCGTAAAACAGACCTTTCCAATAAACACGTAATGTCCAATACCGCCCAGTCTAGCACTGCACAACAGAATATTATTATTATGCGACCGACCGCATTCACCCACCAAATGTTAACAAAAGAGGTTAACCCATTCTTTGCTCACCCCTTTCCTACTGCAGGAATCCAAACAAGATTATTAAAAATGTTCGTTCAAAAGGGCAATAAAAAAGCTGTAATTTCTTTTCCATTAAAGAGTAAGTAACAGCACAAGCTGTGCTCGCAGGTCCTACAACTCCCCAGACAACCACGGGCCATGGAATATGAAATACCTCCTGGAAAAAGTAACAAAACACAACAAACCACCCACCCAAAACAAAAACAAATCAAAACAAAATAAACAAAACAAAAATGATTTTAAAAAATCAAACAAACAACCTCCTCCCCACAAATAAAAACAATTAGAGTAAGTGAACCAATTTCGTGAGCACAAACGCGCTCATTCATCGGCACAACAACGAAAAGGTTAAAAATTCCCATAGACAATAACAACATTTTAAAATAAAAACCGTTAAACATGCTGAGGAAAAACAAAATTAAAGCATGTGAACCTGGTTCAGGAACACTGACAACAATGAGAAGGTTCAAAATTCCCACCGACAATAATAATTTCTTTTTCAAAAAACGTAAACAATTATGAATAAAATATAAAAGACATTAAAAAATTCTGGGGGAAAAAAATCTGAGGAAAAAATATAGAGGTGTTTAAAATTCTGAAGAAATAACAAACAAATCAAAACAAGTAAAACAATTGTGGAAAAAAAAAAACAATCTCCCAGACGTTAAAAATTCCGAGAAAGCCAAACTTGTTGGCTGCTATCGTATTAAGAAGCACTTCCGTTTTCCTTCTTTCCTCAGCCCTGTGGGAGCTGCAGCGTCTCCACGACTATGTCCGTCTGCCTCCCAATGACGTCATGATCGACGCACGGCGCCTGCGCAATGTGACGTCATCACACGACTTTTTACGTCAGCTGGACAGGTTCTCCACTCACACCAAAAGGATTATTCTCAACCTGTCCAGTAGAGACGCTTATCAGAAGGTTCTCAATCAGGTATTTGAGTTTGTGTTTTTGTATGTGTGTTTGTATGTGTGTGTGTGTATGTGTGTGTGTGTGTTTATGTGTGTGTGTGTGTGTGTGTGTGTGTGTGTGTGTGTGTGTGCACGTATGTGTGTGTTTGTGTGTATCTGTGAGTTTGGGAATGTAATAATAATAGAAGTATTAAAAACATCAATAACAATAGCAATAGCAAGAAGAAGAAGAAGAAGAAGAAGAAGAAGAAGAAGAAGAAGAAGAAGAAGAAAAAGAAGAAGAAGAAGGAGAAGAAGAAGAAAAAAAGAGGAAGAAGGAGGACTAGGAGGAGGAGGCTTATAAGGTATGTTTTAAAACGAATTTTACTTTTTGCCTGCTATTTTCTATCCCTCAAATTCTGCGGGAGAGCGTTCTACATAGATGGAGGTAGATAAGAAAATGACCTCCTAGTAAGTTTCTGACCTCCCTCCCAAGGTGTTTTCATCAGAGACTTATCTCTTGATCTTGGGAATCTTGGTGATACATATATATTTGTTTGAGTTTGCTTAAATACGAGGGAGTATAATCGAAAACACATGAAGACTGCCAGAAAAAACAACAACTGTAGTCTCAAACAAAAAATCGTGAGGGTACCAATTTTGAAGGCGTTTTGACTCATAACTGTATTTTTCTTCAACTGTTGCTTGATTGTTGTTGCTAGACTTCCCATGTAACAACACTCAACAATAAACTTCAAGTGAAAGAAATGTGGCATGTTTGTTCGTCGAATCCTTCTGCTATCTTGAGAGTATCATTGGCAGAGAGGGAGGAACAGGCGCTGAAATAAAGTCCCGCATTGGAAAGGCACAGACTGCATTTATTTCTTTGAACAGGATGTGGAGGACCAGGGATATCTCATTACAAACAAAGCTTAGAATTTTCAACTCAAATGTGAAGTCAGTTTTGTTGTATGGATGTGAGAGCGCATCCCATACGTGCATAAAGAGGATCCAGGTTTTCTTATACAAGAGCCTGAGGAAGATACTGAGGATCAAATTATGGACAGACAGGATCACCAACGAGGAAGTATGAAGAAGAACCAGACAAAGCCCAGTCAGAGATGAGGTGGGAAGAAGAAGTTGACGATGGATTGGACACACTCTCATGAAGTGAAGCAGCTGCATAACAAGAAAAGTGTTAAATTGGAACACACAGGGTAAAAGATCAGCGAGAAGACCACGTGGAACCTGGAGAAGAGTCACAGAAATAGATGTACAGAAAAGTGGGAAGACGTGGAGTAACATCAAGCGACTAGCCCTGGATAAGGAAAGGTGGAGAGTGTTTGTTCGTGGCCTATATCCTGATCCAAGGTAGAAAGGCAATGATGAAGATGAAAGAAATGTAAAATTTTGAGAACACAAGCTTTAAAATTGGCACCCTCACAATTTCCAGTTTATGACTTCTGTCGTTTTCCCCTGCGCTCTTCACAAGTTTTAGCAGAGTTGGGCAATCTTGTTTAAATATTCCAACTGTTGTTCAGAACCAGTGTCTTGGAGTTTTCTTAAGCTAAGGGTGAACTGGTCGCTTTTTGTTCTTCTTTTTTACACAAATCTCGCCATCTTATTTTGAACGGGCCTCAGACTCGAGTTGGGGAGGTTTTGGGAGGTTTGCAGAGAGAGAGAGAGAGAGAGAGAGAGAGAGAGAGAGAGAGAGAGAGAAAGATACAGAGATAGAGAGACAGAGAGACACATACACAGA